CTTGACAATATCTTATTTTTTAGCAAAGTCTTTGTCTATAAACCAAGTTGAGGCTCTTGAATCTAAAAAGACTAAGACTTTGTGATTTTTTGGTCCTAAATAAACTTTTATTATAAAATAAGGTGAAAAATTTAAAGAGAGAATAAGATCTTTATTAAGAATTATATAAGATTTCAATCACACAATCTCTATAGTAGCTAGAAAAATGTATTTTTTGATAACTCATCCTCTTGGGCAACCATAATTCTTATTTTGAGATTGCATTGTTGCTTTGAATAATGTTGAATAGTGTGTTTGGATTCTCCACAATATAAACACAAATCTTCTTAATGACGACAAATCTTTTCTTGCTTAGTAAGAGGTTTAAAACATACTGTGTCAATTTACATAGACTTTGGTTTAGACAAGTAAGCTTTCAAAAACTTAAAAAATATTATTATGGCTTGATACATATTTTTTTAATTAAATCTTTATTCGTGGCATCTTTCAAAGAGTTGATTATTGCATGCAATGGCTCAAGTAAAAAATTAATTTAATGAATCTACTTTTGATATTATCAACAATAAATCTTTGACATTATCTTTCAACCCATATTAAAATTGATTGATAAGGGCTTTGTCATTCCAATCCACACTGCAAATAAGATTTTGGAATTCAATAACATATATGGTGGCTGAATAAGTCTCATGTTGTAACAATATGAGTTTGGTCTCTATTATCTTTTTTCAATCACTTCTTCTAAATATAACCGTAATATTTTGAAAAATAAATTAAAATCATGAAATAATTATAATTTATTTTTTATTAAAGGTACAAATCAAAAAACATCACTTTCAGAAAAAAGTATTTTGATGAATCCAACTTGAGTAAATCCATCATGATATTGAAAAGAATGCAATGATAGATAGAATTTTATTTATTGTAGAATTCCTTGAAATTTTGATCTTGTTCTATCAAACTTGTCAAGCATAATTATCCTTGCCTCTCTTATACTTTTAGTAGTAAGACTCTTCAAATTCAATTGCAAACTTATTTTTCTTGTTCTACTTGCTTTTCTTAATTGCACAATTTTTCATTAAAATTTAAACTTGAAACTTTAAACTTCATTGTTGACTTCTTCTATGGTCGTAGGAATAGTACCTCTATGATTCACATTGAAAATACGTAAGATTTCTACTCTCAAAATGTTGACAAGTTCATGAAGATCTATAATAGTTGCAAATCTATTCTTATTTTTGTTGAAAGTAGCATCTATAATTTTTTTTTTTATAGATAATTCAAACAAATTCAAAAATTTAAATTAGAGGCAAATAATTTACAATCTCTAATATCAAATGAAAGTTTCCACAAAGAAGAATAATCTACTTTTTTTTCAAAGAAAAAATCAATGTTAAAAAATTAAATTATTTATAGATAGATAGTCTACAACCTTAAAAATATAATAATAGAAGTAGGGTAATCCACTCACTTCTAAAACAATTTAAGAACAATAAGCTAGTATTCTTGTCGTAATGTCAAGAACATGAATCTTGGGAAAAAAAAATCTTTAATACATTCTTGTGTCACTCAAAAGAACTAAAAAAACACTCAAAGATGATATAGTATTAAACTAGAATGACTATTGCCAAAAATAAGAAGACTAAAAAGTCTCAAGACAAGACTATGGACTAGAAAGATGTTAACAAGAGTGAAGAAGGCTTCACTCTTGCTTCCACATATATTCTCTAACTAAGAGCCATATGACGATCTTTTATAACTCTTCCATATGTTGACTTTGTTAGAGACATATTATTTATATGTGTGCCATATAATTATCTTGTTTTACAAGCTACCAATATGTATGGTATGTAGTCAACTTATTGATCAAGTTTCTAATCTATCAATCAACTACAAATACATATAAAGTCAAAATCACATCTACAAAGCTTCTAGAAAGCTTTTTCTAGAAGATATTATGAAATTAATCTAAATTTATCTTCTTCTACATAATAATATGAGTATTAAATGTATATGTCCATGACACAAATATTACAAATACTACTTAATTTCAAAATTATCACTAAGAAACTACAACAATAGAACATGAAGTATCCTTGCTATAAAAACAAATCTATAAATGATTAAAGGCAAATTCTGTATTGAGGCTCTAAAGAATATGCATTAAAAATAAAAAAAAAATAAATGGAAATAAAACAAAAACACAATAAAAAATTAACAAAAATTTACTATAAGAATTTTTAGATAACCTATTCTTAGTTGCATGCATTGCTTCACATACACAATCTTAATTGTAGATAATATAAAGCCTAAAAATATTTTTTATTTTTAATATAATTGTAATAAGTATAAAAATAGGTTGATTTAATATTTACATGTAATGATTTAATATCTCTATCTCTCTCTCACTATATATATATATATATATATATATCATTTTTATGTAGTGAGCTAATCTAAGAACATATCTTCTCATCTCCAAAATAAGGTTGATAAAAAATCATTTCTGAATATATGCCATAAGCTTTGAAATCCTTTGATCCAAGTTGCAACCACCTTCATTAATAAAAAATATAATAAAATAAATAAATAAATAAATGCATCCAACCAATATAATGCATCTTCTGTATAAATGTCAAAACACAAAGTCATACGCACTAAGGTCAGATCACTCAAACTGCACCCCTACAGATCAAAATTGTGCAAGAAAACAACATGAAGAAGCAGAAGAAGAAGAGGAACGAATCAAAATAATACAACAAATAGAGATGAGAAGCTGCAGTGATCAGCGGACACATCGGAACTGCGCCGAGAGGACTTGACCAACGCTAGATATCTAGACACACATCTAGACACAAATCTAGATAAAACTACGCCAAACTAGCACAATCGGAGAAACTCTACAGCACAATTGTAGCAGCCGGAGTGGCTGGATAACATTTGCGCAGAGAATGGACATGATGTTCGTCTCGTTTTGGTGGTGCGAGGGAATACCAGGGGGTGGCGATCCCTGTGGTCCCCACCAGTGGTGGTGGAACTCGCGTCTTATAGGCCGTTACACCATACGCAGATCCTGTAATTGGGGAGGGGGAGACAAACAATGCCATCAGCTACAAATTCTGTGGTGTCACCCAGTTGGGTGAAATCCTATCTGGTGACGTCGTGGTACCGAGAATATGGGCCCCCTCGGTGTAGCCCAGGCGCGGCAGGCGTGCTACGACCCGTTGAAAGGGCTTTGTATCATCCGAATAAGTGCTGGTTGCGGGACCTAAGCGAGGTGAGACAGGAGGGTATTGCTGGCCTGGGTTAACAAGGATGGGCCTAGTAATGCAGCGCCGAGGTGCCATTTTTACACGCTCACAGAACCTCTCCAGTTCTGCAACGGATAGCTAATCGGAAAAAGGTTCTAGTCTACCTAGGGACCATAAATTAGTTACCGTTATGTCGTGAATGTGAGCTGCGAATAGGCGTTTCCGTTACTGCTCCATAAGTCTTGTGTGCAGTGGCGCAACGCGATGTTACTAGAAACGTTGTGGTTGTACCATGAATTCTTTGGTGGGTTTCGCATGTGAGGTTTTGCGATGATGTGGCTGGTGTGTAACAGTGGATGTTTAGACAAAATCTGGACACAATCTGAGACTGTTCTAGAGTCCCTGGTCTCTGAGCGTCCCAGGGGTCTACGTAGATCTTCTTCCTAATCTGAAACTTGAATCGAAATCTGTGGAGACGAGATTGCAAGGTGTACCACGGTTGAATGTGAAAAAACGTTTTTTGAATTTTAACCCTATCTCCCGTCCAGGGAAGAGAGTTTGTTTTGAGCATAAAGAAAGTTGACGCGGGGACGCTCGGAGATCGAAAAAACTGTTCCCACCCAATTGAGTGTGTCCTACTAAAACTTCAAGCGTTTCCTTAGTTGGTGTTACATTTGAGGAAGATCTAGTTGAAATTCAGTATTTGGTTTGATAAACAAAACTTGAATAGGTGAGTTTTCCAACTCCCTTCACGTAATCTTCTGGGTGAAATTTGGGTGTGGGTTTGAAAAAAACAACTTAGAGAACAGTTCGTCATAAGTACATGTGAAGAGAAAGGGAACTTCATTAATAAATTAAAGTATCTAAAAGCCAACACCTTTTTTTAATTAAGGAAAAATAATATCATAAACAAACTAGAACTCACAAAAGAACTATTTTTTACTTGTCTTATAACCCTGATGACCTAGATAGCCACTTCGCATTAGTGGTGTAACAAGGAGAAAAATAAGGCAACCTTCTTAAATGTCTCCTCCCAACTCTGGGCCACAGTAATTCTAACCAAACGGTGACAATCTTGTCGAAAAGCAAGCATAAAGACTGTTGAAACCTAATGTTGCGGCTTACTCATGTCGGGATGAAATCACGAAACTTGGATGCATAGAGGCGGGTGATTGCCTCCCACTGAACTTTTCCACACCTCCGTCTTAAAACCAAAAAAGCTCTGGTATCTTATTAGGCATAGATTCCCGACCTATTTCTTTGCAGGTCGATTTCTTTCGAAGTTTGCAGGCCCTTTTATGTAGTGAAAATGGCAACAAAAATCATCTTTCTCTTGTGAGGGGTACGAAACTCAAAATTTAAAATAAAAGAAACCGAAAATTTAACATGCTGCTAAGTGGGTTGTTTCCTTTACCGAAATACCATGCGCAAGGCACAGAACATTTGGCCGGTAAGCACTGTTAACTATGTTTCTTTTAGTTGTTCGAAACATAGCCACTCAGAGCATTCGTGAGTCATGTGTGCGGCAATAGTTTCATGCGAAACTGTTCACCTTTGTTGTAGTACCGTTCCTCAGCACCGACCGGTCCTTTCCAGAAATGTTCGGTAATACGGAAGCCAGAGCATATCAAGAATAGAATAAGACTTTTGCATTAAAATACCCCTTGGGGTTCCTAAGCATAAAATATACTGATACCAACGTTCACATACCGAATACATACTATCATTGTAGAACGTCTCCACCAAACATACACTGTCAGCCAGGGATATCGAACCTCTAAGAAGTCTCAAAAATACACCAATCACCATAAAATACATTGAGACACTAGCGGAAAATCTTTCCTTGTGAAAGCATCCGTTGAAGGACCCAATACAACCACCTTATCACATTGCCACGTTCCAAGTCCACTCAATCCGACCGTTTGGCGGTTTCCGCTAGTCTTCTAACTGCCTCTCCTGTCAAAGCATTGTCTAGTATAACATACTTTTCAAGTGCACACGATCCCTCCAACTCTGTCCATGTAGCTGGAATCATCTGACATTGGAACTATTCTACTAAACGTGTACATCACCAAGCACGGACGACTTCCGTCAGGCTCTTCGTTGTTGATCGATATCAATGAGATTTGTCGGCCGGCCGTGTGGAGATACCTGGCATGCTTCCGATTGACGAAGGATCGATGTGAGAGCAAAGGGAGCTACAGCTGATTCCTACCTCCGAACTCGAAGGATTCGTGAGAGCTCCCTTGAGAGAGTGCGTAGGGCTTTTTAGAAAAATCACCTAGTTGCAGAATGGTGTGCTATACCGTAACGAAGGTCGAGGGCGATTTGGGGGCGCCATCGACGATGATCTGCAGAGGGGGGAAACCCACCAGTTTTCAGTTTGGAATTCGGAAGCAGGAGAAGGTGAGTGTGACGGCACTGAAGGTCAGCAAGGACTCGCACCGGATAAGGAAACCCCCTCTGCCGCTCCCGCAAGTGCAGTACCGGCCTCCGATAATCATCCACACGTACTCACCGAAGGTGATCCATACCGACCCGAATGGCTTCATGTCTCTAGTGCAGAAGCTCACCGGCTCCAGTGACACTCGCTTGCGCCTCAAGCGAAAACCTTCGAAGAAAAGCGCTAAATCGAATGGTCGTACCGATCGCCGCAGTACGGATTTGACAGATATGGACGCCAAACTTCTCGGCAAAGAAGGTATGAAAGAATGTAACTTACGATGCAACCATCAATCTAAAGTTGGTCGTGCCGATCGGGTATCAATGAAAATGTCTCGTAATGCTCGTGGTGTTGTCTCCAGTTGAATGGATGTTTTTTTTTCTTCTAATGATGGCTCTGGCATACATCATTTGTTTCATCAATTGCAGGATCGAATGGAGCGTCGGATGCCATTTGTGCATCGCCGTCTAGCTCTGAAGACTCTGCCAGCTTCCTGGCTCCTGACGTCTGCGGGGGTGACATTCTCGTGAAGCAGTCTAATTCTCCGAGAGGTCCGCTCTCAAACTACGAATTCGACAACGATGACATTCTTAGGCCGTTCGAGCCGGTCACGTCCCCCGGGATTAATATTTTCTCGCACGTCAAGGCAGAGCCCTCTTTCTCATTCAACGATAATTCCTTCAACTTCTTCTCAGACGGCCTTAGCTCTCAGCCAACCACTGGGCCTGCAGGCACCTCGGCTGTCACACCAGCCTCGGGAAAGCCTCCAAAGCCGCCCAGGCCATCGAGTCTTCCGAGGCCTCCGATGCAGTCCGAGCATGGTTCATATCATGGTATCGATATGAACTCCCCCTTACCGTCGCCAGGATTTCTTTCCCCGGGGTTGTTTGCCGGACTTCCTGAACTTTCCCCCGGCACCGCAGCCTGGTCCCAGGCTTTCCTTGATTGTCTCAATAACTCCCCTCAGCTTGCCAACCAGCCACCTCTACAACGGCAACGAACCCCCTCAAGTGGGTACTCGCCGTCAGCTGAAGGAAACACGGTCTCGCTTGAAAATATTCACTCGTTCTTTCTCACATGACAAACTCGCCGGGTTTGTCTTCGGCAACGAGGGATGCATTTGTAGCTCTTCATTTTTCTGTTCAGGAGACATGTCAACCAGTGGAAGGAACCAACCGGTATCTGATGAAGCTGGTCTTGGTCGAGCTTTGGCTGAAGTGAATAATTTGAGGAAGGAAACGAATCATTCCCTGGCAGGTAGCTGCGGAGTTCCGAAGAGTCTGCTCATTGAGAAATGAGCAAGTAGCATTGAGAGTGTAAATTCGGCAGGCAACAGAATCAACCCTCGACAAAAGTCCTCTGAAGGATCGCGGATTGCATCGTCGCGGCATTCAGGTCTGTAACTGTTACCTTCACAGCATCGAAGAATATCGTAGCGATAGAATCAACCAATAGTGAGGCGGCACTGACATGAGTTGTAGATAGACTGATCGACCCCAGTTGCTAGCTAGCTCTGAGTCGAGAGACGGATGCGCAATACTAGTTGCAGGTTTGGCGAGCGAGAAGAACACGGTGGCCTCAGTAGTTCAGTTCCCTCCACTTCTCTGAGAACTTGTACCATAAATGACATGCCAACATGTCATGTCTCTTAAAAGCTGTAGCATGCGACATGCTATCTGACACATGGGTTTGGAGCGTGTCAGGCCCATGATCCATGTCCCCCTAGTCACACATTGACAAGTTTGTGTAAGCTGTCCCCTTGGTGTAGTCTATTGTTGCAGCGTTGGCGTTTTTGGATTGAGACGTTTGCATCTTCTGCGGCATGGCTGGTTAGAAGTCCAACCTGCGGAGCATTTAAACTTTGTACCTTATTCTCACTACCCTCGTTAACTAATTTCGCTTAACAGCCGAATGAGTTGCACTTGAGGGATGAGCATACTTGGTTTCAGCTTCCAATACAATTTTTTGTCATGGTTAAACACTCTCTGATGTGTCTACTGTAACTCTACATGGAGTGACAGTTTCAAACTGCTGAATTATATTGTAGTACTGGTATGATACTCCCATATTCAATCCGACAGAATGCTCGCAGTTGTCTCTTCTCACTAACTTCAAGCATATATTATGTTGTCTGCTCACGTAGACATGTTCGCCATCTCTTCATGAATACATGATAGAATTGCATTCACCACGTCCACATTCCCAGTCCTAGCTTCCCAGTAATCGTTTAAAGTAAACACACCATTTTGTGATGTTTTCGCATCATTTGAAGTACACGAGTAGATCGCTCTAGACTACGTTCGTCATCCTCACTAAAATCTATCATTCACGTACCTTGTAACGGGCATTGACATTCCAGTGAGATCTTGAAGACGAATCAAAGGTTTCAAATCGTTTTAATTCACTTTCTGTGCCCTATGTTGTTGCCTCTACCTGAACTGGAACAATGCATTGGTCATGATACATTCATAAGCGACTTTAAAATGGACGTCCCAGAAAAAAGAAGTCTTAAGCGACTTTTTCATTCCTCGCTGTCTATATATCTGCAGAACAGGATGGTCTACCCAGTACTAGGATTAAATTTCATTTTTAAAAAAAAATATTTTTGAAAAAATTGCAGAATGTTGGTTCTGCAATCAAAATTCGCTAACTAACGCTACAATTTCAATCCGATTTTTTTTCTTTCTTTTTATTTATTTATTTATTTTCCTGTGACGAAAACTCGCACCTCACAAAGAAAATGGAATACATCAAATATCTAGACATATAATAGAAACAAATGTACACCGCGAAAAAGGACTTAAGCACGAGATGCAATACTACACAATCATGCACTGATGCAACCTGCCAAGACTCGTCACAGGCTCCATCGAATTATATATCGTATTCAATCACAATCGCATGAACGCAATCTAGCTTTGAGATCCTCTAAATTTTCAATCCTATTCTGACAAGCGCCAGAATACTTGTCATTGAATCAAAGTCATCCTTGGTAAGGTTCTGTGTAGAAAGAGAACCGTAATATCCTGTCGAAAGTGTCGGGAAGCTCATCGAGTTATCGGAAATCAATAAATGTTGAAACATTTGGCCAAGACTTTACAAACGTCGACACAAAATTATAAACATAAATAGAGCGAAAGTGGCCAAAGTTTGAGAAACAGATGAAATGTTTCGACCCACTTGAAAATCTTTGCAGCTTCACTGATTACATAGACACGCATGTTGTTCCGTGACACAACCTCTCAATCTTGTACCATGCAAATTTTGTAAGCCCTGTTCGCGATGTGCTGGAGAACTCTAATTCTTATTCTTCTGAGTTGCAGGTTAGAATTAATTGAGGAAAATGATTTGGAGTACCTGCAACGGCTTTGCTTTGCATAAATATGATTTCTTAAATCAAGCGCATCGTAGATTCTTGCAGAATGCAGAATGGCCAGTCTGAGATGTGTTGTGGGTGCCGACCAACACCAGCGATACGTATCATGCTATTTTATTCTCTTTGTAAAAGAACGTGACATGTTTTCTAACATATGTAAGAATAAATTCATTCAATTAGCTGCCCTAGGACAAACAACGATGTTAGGAATTATTAAACTCACAGTCTACTCATGTGGGTGCAAAATCTGATGCGCATGTACATCTGTAAAGCTCAGATGATATTGACAGTACAAGAGATATGCAACACAATCAAACATTGGTGACAGTATTGGAGTACCACAATCAATGCAGTGTACGACTTGACTTCCCAGGCTGATGTTAACTCCTGAGTTGCTCGAATTAAAAGGCCGGTTCTAATTTTACAGTGAATCAATGTGCTCAGCAGATACGCTTAATAATATCATAGTGATATCAAGTACTGATGTGCAAAGCTGCATATTGAGAAACACTGTAAAAGACTGGAAAAGCTTTTGGCACTGTAAAAGTGTTATTGAACCACGTCGTCCAAAGAATGTAAAAAGCTTTTACTTGAAAGAATGGTGCTTCCTTGCTCCTCACAACCGGCAAAAAATATCGCTGAACAAAGAGACCCTTGGGACGGCCCCCACATCAACATCAATGGTATTGGTCTTAAAATCAGTGCTACCCTGAATCTAACCCTAATCCTGAGAACGAAATCAGAAGTTCTGCACCTAGGACGTATCGATCTATTTGAACCTATATTTCCATCTCTGAAGGAGAAGAAAGATCCGCACGAGATCATTTCTCGCAAATACAAATGAAAATTGACGCTAAAGGTGATAACAGAATTTATTGTCTAGAAAACAGCACAAAACTCCCAAATCCATTAACCGTTATTGTCTATGGCTCTTTCCATCTGCGGTTTGGTTGCCTCCGCGTACGAGTCAACCACTCTGAGGCATTTGTCCACTGTGGCTCCATCCACAAGATGATGGTTCCAAAGTTTAATAAGAAACAGCATGAAACACCTGCATACATAATATTAAGAGAGGTATTTATTTCAGAAGTGACTCTCTAAAGACATTACTGAATCTACCAACAAGTGCGTCAAATGTATGATACAGTATGTAGATATAATGGGTATTTCAATACTCCACTTCAAGAGTAATTGACCAACTAGAAAATACTCGTCATTTCTGATTATTACTGGATAAAAGATGATTCAAGTAACAAACCTCCTTAATGACGGTTTGCTTGAGAATCTTGACGCATGAAGCACAGAAAACGTTTCACAGGCCCATGAGCAGTGACCATCTGCAAACAATCTGCATTTGAAAGCACAAATGGTTACCAACTCACATTTTGAGCAACCAATATTAGCAATGCAAAATTAAATGCTTATCATCAACAAGGCGTTTAACATAACTTCATTGATGCACAGTTGGATGAGGTAATAGAATGATACTTCTGCTTTCGCACGAATGAGTTCCACAGATGCATGATATCCTTCTCATCCGAGGTAACGTCCACAAAATCTTCAAGCATCTGTAATTGCATAAGCGAAATCATTCAAAAAACAGATTCCAGCACAGGTCTTAAACAGAAACCAAGTATGTAAACTTGTTTATGGTGTTACGGAATCAAAGCTAATCAATCCTGTTTCCTGACTGACAGCAATCATGGAGACCAAGCAAAATAACAAACATCAAGTAGAATACCCGGCGATCTTCAACTGTGGCCAGATCCTCATCCAGTTCATCTTCACTATCCCTGTCAGAGAGCAGCTCCTCAAGACCCATTGGCTGCTCAAAATGAACAAAGAATATCAATCGTTCATTACAAAAGATTCCCAAGGTAATACAAGACTCTCCTGAACTTCTCAGTCACTAATCATAGCCTCAAATATTATTGATCATCCACATAGATAAAATCCAAGTGCACACACATCCACCAAGTTAAAGATGACAAGACAACCAGGACAATGCATGGATGATTAAAGCTTGCAAAAAAAATAAAAATAAAAATAAAAATAAAAAATTGCAGTTGTACCTGGGCGGTGTGAGAATGGAAAAATGTTCGCTTTTGAAGCAGCAGCCGACTGCAAGCACAGGACAGAATTAACATTTCACCCCAAATTAGAAATTTCTGACATTATTTCCCTATTTCTCAAATGAGCCCTATTCAATCCTTCATCCAAAATAATTTTCACCAGAATAGCTTACAGCCTAGCAAAACCAAACGCACCAGCTTCAGGATCTATATGAGTTGCCCTAGTAGGCCAGAGCAGAAACTTCCTCAATCATGTCAACACTTTTCATCTTGACAAGCATTTGAAAACTGCAAGTCACCCACGCGCATCTTTACAGAAAACGAAACACAATCTCACTGCAGGTATAGGATCTACAGAGAAAGGTCAAACTTCACGTACTTGCGAGCTTCGGCCCTTTCTGCACGTTCTGCTGCTCCATGTCGATTCTTCTCAGGGCGCAATCGAATAGAGGTGGCAGTCGTCAATGGAGCATTAATTTCATCAACAGGGGCTGCCGATGCTGTAGCACAGACTCCAGTTCTGGAATTCTCCTTCTGAGCGAAATCACATTCTTCAAGCCTCTGACGTTTTAAAGGTGAGAGGCCAGGTGACCTTCCATCCCTTCTTTCCCCCTTCATGACTTGTTTCTGAACCATCTGCGAATTGTCACTACTTGACTTTGCAGGACCAGTGTTGGTAACTCCATGGGAGTGGTCTTCACTGATGGGACCAGGAAGGTAGCCTCCATCCCCAGGTAAGGGGTGGACTTTTGTTGTATTGCCATAAATCTTCGAAAATGGCCTACGTGACCTGCAGGAGGTAATTATGATCCAGCTCATAAAGATGGCCAACTTCATTATTACACTTAAGACAGGAACTGCGTTAAAAGCCCATTAAAAGGTGAAAAGTGGAACACAACGAATGTGAAGAAGATTCGGATACAAAAAATAAATAAATAAATAAATAAATAAATAAATAAAATCAGGTATCAGATATGTGTTACTGATCATATCTAGCCCGCATCATGTTAGCTTCTAAAGTCATCTGCGTACTATAATTCAATAAAGAAAGAGAGGCAAAGCTCTGGATGAAGAGAGGAAAAAATAAACTTGAGGATAAGAAATCTATTCTTTACAAACAAATACTCAAAGTCGAAAACATGTGGCAACAGTCCCTATGATTTGAAGCATCCTTCAATAACGTACAAACAAATTGGGAAGCTCACCAAAACATCCAACTTTTTGTCCTTAGAGCTGGATCTGAATCTAAGATATTACCCTGTCAGCAAAACGGACGACATGGAGCACACTCGCACGTCAAAAACTCAACCCTCATCGTTTCTAACCAATCCTAGTCAAGAATACATGAAACACCGTTAATCAAGCTACGCAACATGGTGTGGGGCACTATATTTTACCAAGATCTCATTTTGAATGTCTTAAAGCAGTCTATGCTCGTCAGCAAGGGTAGAGCCAGGTAGTGCATACATACAATACACCATTCAAAGTAGAAGAAACGCAAGATCTTGTAACATGTGGTCGTACTGAAACGAGGGCATCTATAAAGATTAATCAAAGTACGGTCAACCAAAAGCTTAAGGTTAATATATAATGACGATTAAGAGAGATGTTACCAAACTTACCTCAGATCCCAGCATTTCGGTACGAACGGTAACATTTACAACTGGTATGTCTCCAGTTCGCTGAAAAAGAAAAAAAAAAAAAAAATTAATATTCTTCTTTCGGAAAAAAGAAAAAAGAAAAAGGCAATTTCACCAAACAAACCCGATCAAGAGATAACTCCAGTTAGGAACCCCAGGTAGAAGCTACGATGCCACGCTGAGCATCCAAACAACGACACTCATCCATGTTGAATTATTATTAAAGACACAGAAAACTTCACAGAAGTACCAGAGGAGCAAAGAGACTAGGTGAACTCCAAAATCTAAGCTGCAATTCAAGCTGACTTGCACAAAGCTAACTATTAACAAGCACTAACCAGATATTATTGAGGAAAAGCATGGACAGCACTAATTCTAAAAATTTGATAAATAGCACTTGCCAGGTATTCAAAATTGAATAAAGCGTGTGAACATTTCAAGTGACAGCGTAAACCCTGCACCAACAGATGGATGCAGATGTAAAAGATGTGGAACGAAAAAATAAAACAGACGACTCACGGATAACATATGATTTAACAGGAAATCGTCAAAATGAAAGCTAGGAGTAATCAGCACAAGTTCGATAGTCACTCTCAAGAATGCACCATGTTCCAAGTAGACATGAATGTAAGATCCATAGATTAAACAAAGAAAAATACATCAAGTATTCTATATCAAGTGAATAAAAGAATATTATTTGAAAGATAAAGCTTGAGTCTATTTGTGCGACAAAATAAATTACCTTAAATGTGTAACATCGTACAGAGCAAAATGGGCATGAAAATTCTTCCGTCACTGTAAAAAAATAAAAAAGTAAAAAAGGTCCATATTGAGCTGCGTTTTGAAGGTACACTCAAATACTAATGCCAAAACACAAGTAGACTCAGTATCCCACATCATAAAGACATCCTTAAGAATTCAGAAGACAAGAAACCCTATTCTTTGCAACTCGGAACATTCCTAGAGTCTAAACTGAGTCTCCGGGGCGTCATGATTTCATCCGTAACGTTCATGATTCAGAAAACATCTCACCTTCTTTTTTCTCAAATCGGTTGAAGTACCAACGAAAATGGAATTCCACATTGCCCAAGGGATTTCTGTCCAAAACATCAGATAAATATAAGACTTCTCTGTCCTGTCACATCTGACAAGAAAACAGCGATTCAATCTGCATTAAAGCTAGGACCACTTTCCAATAGAAAAGACGACCAACCGGCACTTCATACACAATATGAACAAACTCCCCTAACAACCACAGGATTCCTACAAACTATTCATAAAAAACGAAGTACAAGTAGTGTCTAAACTCGAGTAGGTGAAGGCTCATTTCGAGACAGTTAGTACCTAAGTGCCTGAGAGGGCGAGGAGGAAATACGTTTGAGAGACGTTCCATTTGATGTACAGCCGTTTATATGAGCATGCCTAATCTCAACAGCATGAGCGTGCACTTGCAGTTTCATCTGTGAAATCCACTTTAGTAAGTTCTTAGATTCACCAAAAGTCACACTTGACCCTAGTGGCAATGAAAAATAGTCAATCCTTACCATTAACACCCTAATATAATGAACACTTGTCAATAGAGATAATTTACCCAATAGTATGCCAATACAGGGTGCACGAGTACAAATGCAACCCTACTAGAATTAAAGAATATTTATAATCTACACGTACGATTAGACACAACACACAGTATCCTTGTAAACGAACTAGACATAACTGTACCTCGCTTCGCACTGAAAGCTCCCAAAGAGGTTGCATGCAGACCATGCGCCCAAGTGCAGTGTCCTGATGCTGCATACCAAAAAATAGACCATATAAAACCAAAACATCATATTGTTCCGTTCCTCTGTGATACAAATAATGTACCACTTGAGCAAACAAGACTACTTCATAAGCTAGAAATAAAAGCCAAAGTAACATCTCATGCAACAACTAGTCAATTCAAGCATATGAACAATCGACGGATCACGAAGTGCGGAACTAAATGCAGATCATGTCTCTCCTTGAAAGTTTTGGACATGTTCCCATGTATTGCACTGAAATCGATTGTTGCAAAAAGATGAGGTTTTCCCACATATTTTACCATGTGCCTAGTACCTGCAGCTTGCTCTGGGCAAAGTCCAGACTACACACAGTCTCAACAGGAACACCATTAAGACCTATCAGTGACGGACCCCCGTTCATATTTTTTAGCCATTGGCGACAAAGTGATGCCATGCTCAGCTTGCTCCAAACCACACGACCACTGCAATCCTCTGCAAAAGAAGGGAATCTTAACCTATGTCTTCTCTTTCCCCACATTTGAACTCAAAATCCTTACTTCAGGACGAGAGAGTTTAGATTACATGCACACCAAAGTTCCTACCATACTAAGTGATGACCAAGTCTCGGCCTTGAACGAAAACCTTTCGCAATCAAAAGACCATGATAATCTTAAAGGAAACAGTAGACAAACACTAATGTTGATCCGACGGTCAAAAGGTCATAAGTTACCTAGATCTTTCATATTCCCAGTGTCGGCATTTAATAAATCAGCAGGATCAACTGCAGTCACACAAGGATTCAACGTGAAATCAAGTTACTGATGAATCACTATTAAATTATCATTATAAAAAATAAAAATAAAAATAAAAATAAAAATAAATTAAGAGAGAGAAGGGGATAAAAAATAAAACAAAAACAAAAATAAAAACATTTTGCACAAGAACCTGCCACAGTATACTAGGAAGACTCTAACGACTGATTACTACAAGGAAACCGACATGTGGACTTTAGAAATTCCCAGAAATTCACTTCATCATCGATACTACAGGGGAGAATTTGTGAAGAGGTCAGAAAAAATACGTAACAGAGTGGAGTTAAGGCGCAATACTCATGTCAAAAGGCAATGCAACACATCATACGCATGAACAAAACGCGAACTACAAAAAACTTATGGATGAGACACATGATGATCACAAAATGGATATATTGACTTGCCAAATGCGAAAAAAAGGATAAGATGGCCATTCTTGGCTTGTACACACAGCTTCGCCAGGTCTGGTACCAAAAACGTCACTGAAGCACTTAGCGCACCATCATCAAGAAGAGGTACTTTTGCCACCTTGACGACTTTACTTAATGAAAACATCTGTAGCACATCCACGACGCAGCCTCAAGTAAGCAATGTTCTTCTGTAAATCCAGTATGATCGATCAATCGAATTGAACGATTGGCATGATAACATAAAGCTTGAAAACGAGCCGCAATCTCAAGAAGATATGACGAACTTGAAATCAAAAGAATTTAGTTAATGGTCATCTATTTGAATCTATAGCTAGATACGAACTTGAAATGCACACCAAGTACCTCTTGTTGAGAATTTGGCTGGCTGGAAACCATCACAAACATAGGTAAATACTGATGTGTGGCTGCGGTGCTTGAACCAGGCTCCACTTGCCCCCTGCGATTGTACCATTGAGAAAGGCAGGGTAGGTAGAGAGGTCCCTTCAGCTGAATTGTTGCCTTCAACCTAACCAGAATCAGAAAACTCTTCAGTGCAGGAATTTCTAAACAAAGATGCAAGTGAGGTGAAAAAATAATGACAGGACAAGAGGCGTGTTGGAATATGATAGCATTAAGTGATAAGTTCCAATATGTTCCACTCAAAAATTCACACTCTATGCGAACGGTTCCCCACAAAGTTATTTCCCAGACCAATTGTAAAACTCACACTCACCGCCTTTGTCGCAAGGCTTGAATTTTGTAATTGAGACATCTTTGAAGAAAGACTGGCTGCATCGCAAATCACCAACTGTCACTTAGAACTGTAAACACTTCAGCAAAGATATGTAAAAGGGATAACGTTAGTCCTCAAAATCATAAGAGCACATGTGGGCTATCCTCTCTATTCTTAAACACATGCCTCCAGAGTAACGAAAAATTTTAATAATGAAAAAACAGAAGATCCGCCGGCCCAGATACGACTAGAACTCGAGTAATGATCTGGCCAAATCGCACAACATTTGATTTCCATCGATAATTCTGCCAAAGACTAAATACGCATGTGTTTCACAGATAACTATGCAGAACGCTAAGTTTGAGCCCCCTAACTGTAAATTTCATCGCTGCAAAAAGATACAGCCTTAAGCCTAAATGCAGGGGAGCCTACAACACTAAAATCAACAACATAACAGTACATAAAAGACTTAAAAAGAGGGTATAACAACTAGAAACCGATCTCGATCCCATGAAAAACAACAAACCAAATGGTACAAATGACGCATCACAACGATAGGGTCCAGAGAGTTCTTGACACGAAATCGTCTGGATTGGTAATTCCAGTAACAAGGGTACAAAGAAACCGTAGAATACTCGAAAGAGTACAAGAGTAAAGCCTCGTGACGCAAAGCACAAAATAAGTTTAAATTCGGTACCCGCTCTTCAAAACGTTGACGAATGCTTTGATACAGCTCATAAGGCTTTTGATATAAAGATAGGCTCTTTGCAGCTGCCTTGTCATCGATAGGAGGAAGGTCCTTGGTATTGGTGTTACCGACCTCCCTGCCAACCATAATCCGGCATGGGCCTCCCATATCTACAAGCTCCCCATTGTGTCGGGAGATCCCATTGTTTGATTTCAACATTCATACTCCTATTGTACCCTTCATGTCTAACTCGTCATCCTCTTCGGCGAAGTTCTCCCAAGTGCTTCTCTCCGATAGCGCTGAGACAACTCGGGCATGATCATATTAGACCAGTGTCTTCAGAGAGACTTCAAGAACCACTGCAAGATCCTGCTTCCTGTCGAGATAGTCGCTATAACACGGTTCTTGAACAGAGCATCTCTACATGAATCGCCCACATCTGCCAGACTTGCAGACATTTCATAAACGTTAAATGCTGGATGGAAGTAACGTACGTCCACAACATAGCAATCTTTTTTGATTGACGTCCAAATATTGCAATCACGCTAAATGTTTGATAGGTAGTCTAGGAATGAGTTAGGAGAAACAAACCCAATGTCATCAAAACTCAATACACGTTCTCTTCCAAGCAGAGTCCAGTGCTGAATAATCGTAGGACTATTCCGCCAGTAATGTCCACAGATGGGTACAATACGATGTTCACTGAATCTTCTACATGAAGTACCAGAAGATAGATTGAATTTATCCTAAAACTACCTACTGGGATGCATTAACGAGGAATTTCTCCCTACAACAACAACAAACATCGACAGAACTACAGTACCGATGGTATCTCCTGAACTTCTGGTTCATGCTCAGAGATTGTTTATGGAACTATTTTATAGGCACTCGTCTCTCGTCGCCTTATGTACTAACTCACACCATGGCTCTCCACCAATTGTGTCTCGATCATCTCCTTCAAGTCCTTTCAACTTCTTACTGTAGTGAATAGATTCTAACAAACGGGAGTTTCCAATTATAATTGGCGTTTCTCTCATCTGTCTCTCGACTCTCGATGCCTCACTCGTACCCCTGGAATGCCAATAACGTAACCCTAAATCGCACTCTAATCATAAACTTTTAAGAAAATCAAGGGAGTATCCGATGTACTGTATTTATACCATGAAATTAAGGGGCTCCAGACTATACATTGTCTTTCGGGTGCGTGGCGATGCTTAATAATATATTATGCAACGTGGAGCTAGATAAGAGATCAAATTCGGAGGCCGAATATGTTGTGCCACTTAAAAAAGTGAAAATCACTGGGGGGAGTCGAGCGAAGAACATATACACCGGGCAAAACCAATGGTAAAGGGAGGTGCCACATAATAGCTACTCACTGCCAGCAAAGGAGAAACTCAAAAACAATCCAGAACAAACAGACGACAACAACAAGGATAAAAAAAAACTAAATTAAAAATTAAAAATAATCCGCACAATGCTTTCTTGACTTATACCTTATCCCCTTGATGAGAATTACGACCATTCCACTAATTTGAAAAATATAAATAAATAAAAATCAAAAAAAAAAAAAAAAAAAAAAAAAAAAAACTAACTAACAACACCCGACCTCTCACAACTTGCAAGAAACACCGCAAAACGTGAAAATTCATTTCGTCCCCCTCGTTACAAAAAAAAAAAAAAAAAAAAAAAAAAAAAAACCACAAACGTCGACAAACAACGGCAGGGAGCGAGAGATGGTTCACATTAGCGAAATCGCCCCGACAACTCGTCCACCACCAGAGCACCGAAACTTCATGCAGAAACCTCCACCGGGAACCAAAAATGACGAGGAGCGGCTCAAAAGATCGGGCAATTGGCAACGCGGCGCGAGCTTCGCGATTGTGGTGCACGGCATCCGCAAGTGCACTCGCAAATCAGCATCGAACAATTAGCGAGCGCAGCAATGGGCTGGGGCATTGATAAATAAAATCATAATAAAACAGATAAAATAGATAAATGGCCTTCTCACATGTCCCGCTTCCCTTCCCGCGAGAGTTCTCGAATGAATGGGAAGCGGGGCCTGCGCGGTTCCGCCCTATTACAGGGTGCCCGTTCTCGCCGTACCCCGCCCCGTTCCCTGCGCCTTCTCCAACGTCAGGCTTGCGTTCCCGATCCCGTTCCCCACCCAAAGTGGAGTTTGAAGTTTGAATGTCTTCGCGGGTTTAGGGGCGCCCCGAGGTTGCGGCTCTAGGGGGACCGCGGTGGGTGGGTTGTCTGCCTGGTGGGAACCTGGTTGGGCTACCACGGTCATGGGCCTCACTCTGAACCCATAGTTGTGTGTCATGCGGATTTGCTCATAGGTAATATATATATATATATATATATATATAAATGTTTATTGTTTATTTTAAAATATATATATATAATATGAATAAAATAATATTTAAATTTAATTTTTTACATGTAACTATTTCAAAGAGTTTTATTATGTTCACAACGAAGTAGACAAATAAATAAGATTACATATAACATTGAATCTAAATTTATGCATCTGTCCATCTATGAATTCCTCTGAGATTATATTTTATAAAACTCGGCACTTTTAAGTGTCTCAATAAATGCAAAAGTTAAACACAAACTCAATATCCAAGATTGATACCAGGAATTACATCCCATAAGCTTTAACTTTATTATATGTTATCCACTTTGTAACAGAAATTTTGCATTCTTTTTATTTTAATTTTTTTGTTGTGATTCTAGTTTTAAAATAAATCTTCCATAGATATTAATATCTACTTTTCTTATAATTCTTTCACAACCCCATTGCTTTATTATTTTTCTTATAAAGTGAAACAAAGAAATTTAATGCCAATATATGTATATATATATATATATATATATATAGCAAAATATTATGCAATCAGGCACTAAAAAAATTTGATACCAAATAAAGTAATATTTGAGAAATGGCAACATGATAAAAAAAAAATTAACACAAAATAAGGCAACATACATTTCTAATACATTGTGAAAAGGCAACATAAGTTTTTGGTCAATGAGAAGACAATATTATCTTAGTCAACAAAAAGTGATTTATCAAAAAACACAATTCTATTATATCATAGACACATACATAGACACACACACTTGCATATACTTTTAACTTAAACTTTGTATATAATTTCTAAATATCATTTTTTTCATAATAGAATTATATAAATACTAATAAAAATTATAAGCAATTGAAATTTCAATCACAAATGTTTAAGTACATCTATTTATTTATTGATAATTTGGTCACAAAATTGAAGAAAGATAAAATTGAACCAGTATGTATGTATGTATGTATGTATGTATACACATATACAAAGAGAGAGAGAGCAAGATATTTTTTTTCTTTTTCATATTTTTTAATTAAATAATTCTTATGAAAAAAAAAAAAAAAAAAAAAAAAAAACTACCATGTTAAATATGTATTTTATGATAATGTGTAACCACAAAATGTTTTGAATAGTCAGCACAATAAAAATACTAGATAAAAAACTATAATTTTCTTAGAAACAAATTGAAAAAATAAATTGAGAAATACTTCAGAAGCCAATTTTTGAATTAGATGTTACCTGTATTTTATGATTAATAATTATCTTGAAATTTAGGACTATTTGTAATCTAAAAATAAAGAAATATGAATAATTTTGCCTTATTTTCAAGAATCAATGCCTTACAAAAAGTTTTATGAATGTTATATTTTTCTTTAAAAAATAATAAAAAAAATATTAAATTCATATTAGACTTTAAAAAATTATATGTATATGCCATTAAAAAAAGTATCAATATTTAATTTTAATAGCATACTTTTATTTTATGAAATGCAAGACAAAATATTGTAGTATGCTCTCTAAATCAAACCAATAAATTTGAAACATTCATTATATATATAAACATATATATATATATATATATATAAACATATATATATATATATATATATATATATATATATATTTAAGCAAAAAGAGGCCTTAATATCCTACAATAAGGTGGAATTTTTCGATCATATAATTTCAGCAATCTTTAATAAAATCTTAATTCTTCAAAAAATATTAAATTAAACTAAAAAAATACATGGAATGATAATATTGTTTTCTATGTTATGCATTGTAAAATATTTTACACTTTCTTTTTTTCCTTGTAATAACAAACAAGTTAAGATACAAAGTCTTTTCCACTTTCTTTTTTCCTTGCAATAACAAACAAGTTAAAATACAAAATCTCGTTTTGTAGACTATTACTTACCAATTCTTTACATAGTACCTACTTATATTTTTAAGTTGTTCAATTTAAATATAAAAATAAAATCTCTCTCTCTCTCTCTCTCTAGATATATATATATATATATATATATATATATCAAATAAGTTATTAAACTTATTTAAATTTTAGATTAATGCAAATTTGGGTATTTAGATATTATTTTGATGTATGTAAACATATCTATGCATGTGATAAAATTCTGTTTTATAAACTTCATAATAAATAAATAAATAAATAACCAATCATAGAAAATGTATTAAATATGTTACAACTGTCTATATGTTAAAATGGCATTAACCTCCAAAATTATTTAATACTCCAAAATTTAAGCATATGTGAATGTATTTCAGTATAGTCATTGAAGTAAATATTAACAACAATGGCAATCTTAGTATTTGACTACATTTGGATAGAAAAACAAAAGAAAATTGTGTAGTGGAAACTGTTGAAAAAGCAAACAACCTCTAGTTTTCGAGTATGTCCATCGTGAACGGTAACATTTTCACCTGAGAATTCTGCAAGCATTACACTTCAACAAACATCAATGTTAAACTTTTAACCTTCACTATGTCCTTATTGAACTACACTTTAGGTGTTATCCTAGTCAGTCTCCATTTAATGTGCTGATCTGGGAAGGAATTGATGGGAGGTTGCTGAATAGCACAGTCTAACCCAAACGGTTGAGTGGTTTGATCACCTTTTCTCTGTCCATAGTAGCCGGCTACATCAAAGAAAGTCTCCAAAGGCAGATGGAACATCTATATATTCTTTTTGTCTTGGCTTTTTCTGTTGATGAAAACGTCGTTAGTGACTTGATCAATAGATGATAGAAACTGTTGATATCCATGTGGTATAGAATTGAATGACAATCCTACGCTTGTGCTCCACTTGCAACTTCAAAAGTTATTATTTCATGTGTACATACTTTAAGGTATTTGTAAGTTTGGTATGTACATTCACAAAAACTGTAGACCAGGCGTGTTACAAAGAGGACGCACCCTCAGGTATTCACATCGATGTTGCCACTGAATACTGAATGTTAGAGTGGGTCATAGAATATTTCGGTCTTCCACTGCTTGAGAGTGCCTCACGTCTTGTCCAAAGAGTTACTGCTGCCAAGCTTCTATGAATATCATTAACATACACCATGTAAATTAGTCTCAGCCACTACTATTGCCTCTAGGAACCGTTTTTGAGACACGGGCTTCTCGACTTCGCCATGCATCACCATCATTCTGAAAGCCACGGCCGCCGTTTGCACTATCGGTGCTTACCCCCCTTGAAGGTCGACTCGTGCATTCTTCGTCAAAATGTCCCCAATAATTACAGCTTCCACACCGTACTCCGCATGCTATGGTGCGGTGATTCAAACGGTTACACTTCCCGCATGGTGTGTCCTTATCAGGGCATTCGATCGCCTTATGCCCCTCCACATAACATCTCCTGCATATAAGTGGTCTTCTTGATTTGAACCCACCATCACCATCGCTACGTGGACCACGGCCTCCTCGACCTTCCCATCGACCGCCATTGTTCTGTGCGCCACGGCTCTCTTGATTTGCCCATCTACCATGGGCAATGTTACTACCTTGTCCGTCACTTGTTTGTGACGAATTCCACCCTTCATCGTTGCATATTTTGCCACTTTCTGCTTCAATAGTTAAAGGAAAAGTATACGATGGTAAGAATAAAGCAGAGTAGAACTTGACTTCATAAATGAAAATCTGAAATACAAGAGAGCAGGTTGGAAAGCAAAAACCAAATAGCCACTCACATGCTCCGACGATGCGAAGTAACAAAAACAAACCATAATATAACAAAATATAAAAACACAAAACAAAAATGATCAATGCCCAAGATCACGATATGCTACAACAATGTACATTCACCAGTCAAGAGAACACCTGGATGAACCTCGTCTAATATCTAGTCTCAATTCACACTACGAGTAGAGTTAAGATAAGCCTCCATACCTGCTGCTGCTTCTTTCTGGCCTAATCCACCAAATCCTTCAGAACCCCAAGGATCAGCAACGGAACTCCAATCGGCACCAGCTGTTTCAGTTGCTTCGTTATTTAGAACACCCCACCCCGAATCTTCTCCACTAGCAATTTTCTGTGTTGACTCAGTCCATCCAGAATCTCCTCCGCTGACCACTGTCGCATCACGCTCTTTTACTACTAATTCACTACATCCAACACCAATTGAAGCCGGAGGTCCATTCTGATCCTCCCAAGTGTTCTGAACGGGCATGTGCGATGTTTCGGCTGGTGACGAATCACATCTTGGACTGGTAGATCTCTCTTCACTTAGTGCGACATTATGGTCTCGACCTGTTTGGTTCCAGTTCTCAGCTGCGCCTATATTCTGACTGCCGAATCTTCCCTTTTCACTATCTTGCACAGCATCCCAACTGCCTGATTTTGATTCGGGTACGGTGTTGCACCCGCCGTCTATCCCACTACCTGCTGCATCTGTCGCGCTACCCCAAGCACAATCCGTAGTGGTGGTGTCGCTAGCAGATTTTCCTCCACGCTGATTATTATCAGAGAAATCTATATCAGATGTACATTCACTAATTTTCCAAATAATAGACTCAGGTCTCCTTGCAGGTGATGAACTTAGGTCGGACATGCAGCGTCTCGTCCTCTCTCCTCCACCTCCCAAATTAACATCACGGTCTTCGTCTGGAACTCCGCTTTGATTACCGAAAAAGTCATTGTGCCCTCCTTCCACAGCATCCCACCCACCAACAGATGCTGGCACATCAACCCCTCCATCATCTCCTCCAGTAGATTCTGTTGTAGAATCCCAAGCACCATCACTACGAGCAGACTTGATATTATCACCTTCAACATTGTCACTTTCTCCTTTCCCGGTTTCCCTATCTGCCCTGCCTGCTGGATTTGTTACTTTTTCCTCCGTATTAATCTCCCCATCTATGTCGCTTGCATTCTCACCTTTCTGCCCCCAACCAGCATCTTCTCCCCTACTTCCTGCATTTTTTGCAGCATCCACTCCATCTGGTGGCTCGTTCCAGCTATCCCAATCTCCTCCCCCTCCTGGTGCAATAGTAGAATTTTTCCAGGCATTACATTCTCCTTCTTTGTTGCTCACAATATCACTTTTGATCCCCCAAGCAGCATTTCGTCCATTTTCTCGGTCGTTCCAGGTATCTCCTCCATTAGTTTCGTGTGCAGTACCATGGTCGTCACCCAAGTTATCATTTCCGTCACCATTATTCCAATTTCTGCCCTCCCAATCGTTCTGTGAAGCACGGCCTACTCGAGTTCTCCTTGGAACACCATCATCTTGAGAAGCATGGCCACCGTCTGCATCGTTGGTGCTTGGTTCTCCTGTAGGACGATTCGTACATTCCTTGTCAAAATGTCCCCAAAAGCTGCAGATTCCACAGCGTACCCCACATGCTACGGTCCGGTGCTTCAGAGAGTCACACTTTTCGCACGGCGTGTCTTTGTCAGGGCAATCCATCGACTTATGCCCCTCCTCGTAACATCTCCTGCATATAAGTGGCCGTCTCCATTTGAGCTCACCAGAGTTGTCCAAATGAGAGTCTTCCCTTCCACGTCCGCGACTATTCCGCCCGCGACCGCGATCATCACGCCTCCTCCCTCCTCTGCCTCTTCCTTCCTCTCCCCAAGTTCTCATTTTACTGGAAACTTCAGGTACACGATCGTGAAAGTGGTTTTGAAAGTAAACAACAAGTTTGTCGATAGTATCAAATACCTTTTTACGAAAGCGAAAACCACTTGGGAACAGAGATATGTATTCGTGAAAAGGAGTGGTAGCTTTCATGTAGGAAAGCATGAAGGCTCCAGGGTACTCGTGTGAAAGGGAGAAACAGTATGGGATGGACTTCGGCTTCTCCGTCTTTTCGGAACGTAGAGCATCAGTAATTTCTACTTTGGTTCCTTGCTTATACTTACGAAATTGCAGCATTGCATGCAGATGAGTCACTAACTTACTGACATATTTGACTTCCACCTGCATACATCCAACGGCAATTTGAGACTGACAGGCATGCAGTTCTTTATACTCTACACAATTTAGCCTTCGGAGTCAGCGCTCAATAAAGAAAAAAGAGCTTAGAAACAACAATCAGTTGAAGTCAACTGCACCTCGTCAAGATCCTTGTAGGATTCATCTTCAATAGTGAGAGTCTTTCCAAGGCGTAAAAAGCTATTTAGGTCCCAGTGCTCTTTATCACTCTCAGCAATATCGATATGGGAGAACAGATCATCAGATAATTTTAGTGTAATTGAGAGGTGTGCTGGGCCCTTGCAACTCGGACGAATTGTGAAATCGCCCACATCTTTCTCCGCAAGTGACTGCAAACAACCAGAATTTCTGTCAGCAATTACTTTGAGAGCTCAATCTAACGTGAGCTGAAATCACCTCTCTGTGGCTTGCTCGCCGCATCCCATTTATACGTTGTAACCAAACTGTTTTTAATTGAGAATTTACCGTCAAGAACAAATCAAAAAATAAAAAAAAATAAGGTTATAAAAGCAAGGAAGCATAGAAGATGATGGCTTAAAAAATATGCAGACTGCTACCTTGATTGCATCGTCAGCAGAAATGTTCTGAAACTTAGGGTGGACAATTGGGCGTAGTTTAAACGTCTTCTTATGCTGATCTTCATTTTCTTTGCGAATCTTTTCTTGTTCACTAAGCAAGGTGGTTTTAGGCTTGTCATCATGGTGAAGATCACCATAAAAATCCCTTCGGAAATCACTTTCTCTGCATATGGGATACTTATCAGTCCCAGACACCATTTAACATCTTAACTGCTGATATATATATATATATATATATATATATATATATATATATATATATATATATATATATATATATATATATATATAATAACGTCTTAAAAAATGCTCTAGATAAAACTAGACACTGACAAGAGGATAACATTTCACGTCAGAGCGTCAAAGGTCAGTTCAGAAAGAATTTGTAATATCTATCCACTCACTTGCATGTCAAATAGATCAAGAATTTTTCCATGTTCACGTTTTTCACGCGGCATGTCACTAAACTGCCTTCGGTGATTCTCTCTTTCGGCTCGGCATCGCAATGATCTGAAAGGTCTTCCTTGTAGATAAATCCCACTAACCCAGATTCCAACACACACATGACCTGATTGTCCTGCACTTTTCTGATTGTTGCTTGCACAATTCGGCCTGGAAAGAGAGTTTCTTCCCTCTCACCACTCATCAAATAGAAGCACTCTTCTTTAGAGGGCTCCAAGTATACCTTTCGGCATTCTTGGAACCCGTGCTGAAGCTCAGATTTGATCAACTCCAGTGTCTGTATGCTATTGCTATTTCCATCATCTTGGACACACTCAGCAAAATCTTCAAGAACCATCGTATCTAAAAGGTCAGGGTTCTTCATTACATGCTCTACTGCCATATTAAGACTATCACAATCAATTTCTCCATCATTCCGCTTGGGATCCTTTTCAATGACAGCTTCAGCGAAGTTCCTCGCCGTCTGTTGCGATAAAGATAGTGTAAACGTACAACTAGATCAACAACGTAGATCTCCACATTAAAATGACACATACATACATTCATCATAAGAGTTCTAGGGCATAGACGTCTGGAACAGCATGCATCAACACTAGCATAGCAGAACATTATGTTAAACTGTTTAAGAACAACCACACAATAGAAAATGGATTTGTACAAACGTATTGAGACCAAGAAGTTCGCCACAACATTGATATACAGCAGAGACACAAGTAAATATAAATTAAGTTAAGGCTCAGAAATCACGTTCTACTAAAGCATACCTGATACCACTCAGGATGAATACGGGTATTGTCTAGAGGCTCCAGATGATGTACTTCGGAAGATGTTTGTTCAATCGGTCGCACACGGATAAAACCTGCGGAATTCTTGAAGACCTTCTCGCCCAAAGCCTGTATGGTTAAATACAGATCATCTCGAAAAAGTACACGCCTTTTCATTTGAATAGTTCTTTTAATCGCTCCAGCTTTACGAGGACCAAGACCGGCAACAAACGGAAGGGTCTCAAATAACCAGTCGTGGGTAATTGCCCGATTGATATCAAGACCGACCTGAAAATTTAAGGAGATGAGAGAAAGAATAATAAAACTGTGCCAACGAACATCATGAGCGACAGAAAATGTGGTCCCAGTTTTACACCGTAATTACTACTGCTTTAAAAACTAAAAAGAAAGGCATTTTTGTTGAGGTAATCCACCCCAGCCAAAGATAACAAGGAAGAGAATCAGCCGTGAGATGGATTCAAAAGCTGAAAGATAACATAGAGAAGTAACCACAGAGCCGTTGTCGGATGCAGGGGCTACAGCTAGGTTACCATCAAGCATGCCTAAAAACCAATTTCCCACAATGTCCCCAAAACTACAGCGCCAATGATATGCCTGATTAACTCCTGATATTTCTCTTGGCCTATTTCATTTTTTAAAATAAATAAACTTAAACACAAATGCTGTCGACGCTTGAATACTTCTAGGATACTCAAATCCTTTTAAATGCAGGTGGATTATGCTACCTGGTTCGTTACTGTGACCATGACGCGCTCAATAACGTCATAAAGTTCTTCATTGCTGAGAAAACTCTGCAGTGAATGAAATTTAACTGAAAGGATGTCCATTTCTGGGCCACACAATGAAGCTAGCATTGCCACAGGGTTTTGAAGATACCGACCCAGCCCAACTGCTCGTCTAACAACACCTGTGAAGATCAACTAATGGTTAGATACATGCGAAGAATCACATTAGTGAATATTCAATTAGATAGTTGACATGCTAAATAGGAGCACCTGGAAATTTATTAGTGAAAAACATTTCAACTGCAAACTTCATGCAGTATCGCAATGTCAAGAAACACTATGACTAGACAGGAAAACAAGACCGTACCTGGTTGCCCCGGAAGCTGAATCTGGGAAATTCTTGATGTCTCATATAGAATGGGAATAGATTCGTCTCCATACACCAACTTAATCGTGCCTTGTCTACCAGCCAAATCTCCAGCATGCCGCTCAACAACTCTGAATAGTACCTGTTCGGCGAAAAAATACACACTGAAATTAATTAACAAAATGAGTATGAAGTCACGAGGTAGATCTTTGTAAGCTGGACCTTTGAATCAGAAAACAAGCAACCACCAATATCAGCACCATGAAAATATTGCAATGCACACTTCTAAAAGATAAAGAAATCCTTATACTTCAACAAATTACCCATGAAAAGCAGCAAATGTCAAAAGGTGCATAGAATCTAGGGTTTCTTCAAATGATTCTACTTTAAAACATAGATAAGCTTGCGAAGACTGGATTTCAGGATGATAATGCTCTTCTATTCAAATTCGTGACCCTAAACTAGGCAGCTCTGACAAGTCACAGTATAGTACTCTTTCCGTCTATTCTGACACCGGGTACAAGTGAAGCTTTTGCTTATCAACCAATTCAAGCCGTAGTCCTTAAAAGGCTTTCAATGGGAGTACTCGTCTTTGCTTACATCAGAAATGTCTCGGTAGAGATACTGGCACTGAACAGTTGCAGCCCCCAATACGACGATATGAGGCTTGAAATCTATTAGCACTTGCAGTAAGCGTGATTGGTCATTTTCCTTGCGCTGAGCTTGTTCAGGAGTAAAAACTTTGGTACTTAAATATCCAGTGTGTAAAATGTTCAATATCTCCCCATCAGCGTCGAGCATCACAAAAGTCGTTCCTTTACTAGCTGGGCCCCAACAGCAAGCCAGAACACGAAGTGCAGAACCCTCTTCATTTCTGTTGCATTATTTCCATTCGCAACCATCGTTAACATGAGCCAACAAGAATTATCAGATGAGAAGGATGACTTAGCCGAGCTCCACAATGATCAAAGTAAGAGTAGAAACAAGATGTGAAACAGCTCAAAATGAGTTCCTTGACGATCCTTTTCCTCCCAAATATGACTCAAAAAGGAACCCCCATCTAAGATGTGACAGGAGACACAGATTGAATTAAGAGTGTGGAAAGAAAAATATACTACAAGACACGATGCCATCAGCGTGATAAGCCTAAAACCTACACCGTTTTGTCTCCAAGATGTACCTTTAGAATACCAATACCATTCAATCTTACACAGTAGGGTTTACAAATTGTACAAAAGGTTGCCAGAAAATCGACGCACCTGCATTTCCTACCAGAACCTTTAGCTGGATCATACGGGCCAATAGAGACTTTGTTCCATAACTGCAAGACACACTGTGCAACCACCACTCGCTTAGCATTGGTGACCAGATTCATGCGGGCCTCCTTCTCCATTTTTGAGAGCAAAATTGTCACAGTTGCTTCCTGTAAAATCTGCTTCCGTTGCTCATTCCAATGTTGGGATGTGCAGGTTGATCCATCACTTGAAAACAGAGGCTCACATTCAGAAAGAAAAGTATCAATTGACTCTTTTGATACTCCAACTGTAACATCAATAAGCTTCTCTGCTTCAGCTTTGTGTATAAGAAGCCATTGCTCATCATCAAACGCACTAATTTGTTTGTCCTTTATCAATTTCACACCTTCGAATTGGTGGAAAGCATCGATTATCTCCATTCCCGCTGGAGTTGGTCTTGTGTTAACTGTTGCGTTTTTTGAGTAGAACATGCGAACACACTCCCGTACCGAAGGTTCTGTGCTGATCTCCACAGCCAGCTGCTCAATGGAACCAGAAGTCTTTAGCAATCAAAGATGTTACCAACCAGAGAACACCAATTCAAGGAGCCAAACAAACTTGGATGTGATCCGGGTGGCCATGCGAGTATTAAAACAGGAGTCAATTGGCTAGATTGAACTGTCGTACACGTACCATGTGCCTGGCACCTCGAAGAATAGATGCAGGGTCCCGAAACTGAGTTGTTGGTCCGCTTTCATTGCAAAATTTGGAAGCGATATCATCTGGTAAAAAAGCCTCGTCCAATATCTCATTCATCTGCAAACATCAAGAATCAAAACCAAATTCAATGATAGTGAACGCCAGTAGCAGTAAATGTACCATTAGGTAATGGACTTCTCACACATACCAGTTCTAATACGAGGATGAGAAGCAACCAACTCAATTACATTATGCTATGATATCCCATAGAATCAGGGAATCATGGAACAAACTTCAAGATTCACGTCGATTGATTTTTATTTTTTTACTCTTTATCTTTAATATCGATTCATCCAACTCACACGTTACAACAAATCGACCCATGGAGTAGTAACTGAAATTCACCTACGAATAAAAGCATCTGCTGTATACATCAACAAATTCCGATTAGAGACGCCTAACATGCTGGATAACCATAAGTGGAGGAATGTGAAGGATCAAATCTAATTCCTAGGTCTACCCTTAACATGTGGCTGTATGGTTTCACAAACAAGCCCATATTTCTTAACAGGTACACAGTCAATAGTTCGATACAATGTAACAACGGCCAAAGTGGCCAGATGTTGTGAAATAGACAAGACTAGCAAAGCCCAAATAGTCAAGCCAACTGGACGTATTGTGCTCATTTGCGCTGCACCGACAAATCCTTGCAGAACTAGGAGCAGAACATCAATATTTACCTTATGCCCAGCTTTCAAATTGTCCCCGAAAGCCTCTGAGGTCAATCCAAAGTACTTGGTTATAGATCCTAAACCTGCATCGTGAGCGCAGCTGTAGGATGACCGACACTTAGGTCGTTTAAATCCACGATCTACCATATCCACTTCAACTGTAGGAAAGTGAAGGTTGAATTGGGCTTCGCAATCACCCACAGCTTGTTCAGATTCAGCATCTGCAAGAGATCTAAGAATTCTCTTGAAAAGATTGTCTTTTTCAGGAATGGCAATGATGCCAATTGGAATCCGCATCTCATAACTATCTTGCAGGTCAGACTTTCTGCGTTGAAGAATCAACCACTTCTTGTTCCATTCATGCACTGCCCACAGCGCCTGCAACAATACCAAGTTGATTCGACCAAGGCTGCAACAGATGAGTCATGCAACATCTAACATTGACCAATACACGCGAAATCGCTGCTGGCTGTACAAGTCTTTGGGCAATACCAACCCTATGAAAGTCAATTGACGTATATAACAGCATGTCCCGCAGACTCTATTTAGAGGTACAATTGCTGCAGCTGCTGATTCTTACTATATCATCAATGAACCAAATTACATGAACTGAACTCGCCCTAATAAGCACCACTTACATATGCTGTGTCATTGCAAATAATTAACGATTCTTAATTAAAAAAATTGGAAAAGAAACAGGAGCGAACCTCGAACCGATAGATCGTTCGTCTATCTTCATGTGAAACCTCGTCTGTCAGCTCTTTCAAAAGATCTAAGCACTCCTCCCGTCGATACATCGCAATAAAAGGAATCTGTTGAATGCGAAATCGTAGCAATTCTGTGAGTGCAACTGAGACTCAAATCTACAATTTAGTGAATCGGCTTTGAATCCTCTAGAGACAAAGAACAAAATTTTGATACCTATCTAAACTTAGACCATATTCATAATGGTGGAGTTAGGTACGTTACCCATAAGTTGAGACACACACCTCCAATTTTTCGTTGTGGACAAGATGCAGAACATTAGCAATCTGCTTCACAACTTCATACTTGTCCATATTCAAAAGATGCTGAAACTCCGAACGACTATACAGACAAAGATGGCCAAAGGCTCTGTCGAAAATCCATTCGGATGCTCGCCTCAATTCAACAATTGATCGAGGCAAAGGACCCGCAACTTCCTCCAACACCTGTTCTCAAAACTGAATAATTTTAGTGGCTGCAATCTATGTTGAACCAAAAAAGTTTAAAAAAATAGGAAAACCAGCAGTGCGAAACAAGGTTTTAATGGAGAGCATGTGCACTATGACTTTCTAAACATAACGGAATGAATGCAAGCGATAGATCTCTGAAATCTGCAGTCAAACAATTACTCTTTCTCGTTTCAAAGATACGTTCATAATTTCAGCGCTTGCAAATCAGAAACAGGGGTTTCCAGTGAATTTAGTTGATGTTATTACAGTGATTCAGAAAGTAGCCCAAGTTTTTTAATGCAATCCCACTAGATTGAGGACAAAATGAGCTCCAAAAATAAGCTCCAAAAACAAGCAGAGGTAAAAAAAAAACTAGCTGTGTACTTGAATTCGTTCTGGGATATCGGTTGATCGCAGCCGGTCATCTCTTGCTATCACATTATGAGCTTCAAGCGGGCTCGGTTCAAACTGTTTCTCCAGAAATTTTCGAGCCAAGGTTTCTTGATCGTTACCATCGTTTTCGTCACTATCGTCACTCTCCTCGTTTATAACAGCCGATGAATTTCTATCTCGTTTTCTTCTGCTCCCCACAGATGGTCTTGAACCTTTATATATCCACTGAGCTCCTTTTTGGAATACTGTACTCTTCGATTGGACTTTTCTGGCCCTCCTCTTTTGCAAATGTCCATACCTGTGTTCGACAACAATAATCCAGAACATCGTAATGTGCAAAATAACAAAGCAGGAGCAAGTAGTAGTCGTTCAGGAAAAGGGCGAGCTGATACAGACATGGAGTTCCGAAAGACAAACTAGATCGAAATGCTGTGAGGCTTGTGACTACTCTCAAGTAGACAAGAGTCAACAAATATATCCAACCATGATAGACGCTGTGCAACTTGAGTGAATTCTACAAGATTTATTAGTGGATTTCACGACCTAGAGTAAAGAATCAAATAACCAGAGAAGTTCAACTTAAGTTTTTTCGACCTAAATCCCAAAAACCTGCAGAGTCAGTTCCATTCCTCCCACTCACACCATATGGTATCCAGCAGTGTCCTTTGAACTTATCCGATTGTAGGCTCTTAAGAGAATTAAATGGTGACCGAGGACCGAGGTCACATACAAGACCAGAAACAACTTACTTGAAAAATGACCTATCTTCGTCAACCCCAGTTTCATCTTCCAACTCATTCTCTTCATCAACCATCCCATCCTCATCTTCTTCTGTTTCTTCGTCCTCTGACATCTCCTCAACTGCTGCACCTAATGTTCGGAAAAAAAATCACAGCAATACTCTAACTGTTGCACTGCATTTCAAGCAAGGATTATACTGATTACACTGCAGATAGTATCACCTAAGTGCTCATTCAAAGGAGAATAGATTTTTTCAATTCAGTATGCAACTTCACGAAGAGAATTCCTCTTCAAGGGAATTACAAGGATAAAAGAAATAACTTGTGTTACCTGAATCCTTTCTACCATGAACATGATCAGCTTTCTTGAGCCGCTTGAATTTACCTCCCTGCTCATATGAGAAACTGGTGCTTCAATAAAGAAACAATCCATTTAGCGAACTGCGAACACTTTATGTCAAGGTAATTTGGGACAATGGAATCGATGTTTATGAACAAACACAGATGAGCGAAGTTTGTGACAAGCTTAAAAGAGAGCAAGAGTTGTCAGGTGGACTCCATATTCGTTGTCGAATGCGGTGAAAATGAAAGTCGCGATCTCACCAGGTTTGAAGGATGACGAAAGCCAGTCACGTTTGCTTCTTCAAGTAGATCGTAATCATCCTCGTCAAGCTCAAATTGCTCCTTGACTCTGCCAAATTTATCTCAAAGATAGTGTCAAGTAGGGGAAAAAAAAAAAAAAAAAGAAAAAAAAAAGAAAGAAAAAGAAAAAGAAAAGCATACAATCGAAATCCTCACACAATAATCGAACACGAACATTGACAGCTTAGCATTCAAGTAATGTCCTTCAGAATTCGAGCGCAGACATGAGTAAACAAGGACTAGCCTCTTGTGCATTTTCTTCCTCGTAATCCTGATGTCATCCCCGCTACTGTGCTCAGCTTCGTCTTCTTCTTTCTCGTCAGCTAAGCTTTCCTCGCTATCATAATCCTCTGCACCAGAAACACCAAAAAAAAATAAGAATCGCGTAATCAATGAACACGAACATGGAAATGCGAGTGATTTGAGGATCAAGGAAATGCACGAAAAACACTGCAGATGTACAGAAGCAGCGAGAGAGAAGAACAAAAAAACAAAAACAAACACAAAACAAAACAAAACAAATTCACACTACCTTCGTCGTCATCGTCTGACACGACTTTCTTTCCTTTACCGAGCACGACCTTTTTCCCTTTTCCAGACACACCTCTTCTCCTCTCGTCCGAGTCATCAATTTTAATCCCCTTCCCCCTCCCTTTCTCCGAGACGGCCATTGCCGATGCCTTGGTCCTCATGTTAGCGATACAAATTCACAACACGCCTCTCTACACAAACCACACCACGCATTCAACCAGGACTGCAAAGACAGTAACCACGAGCCTAGGGATAACCTCTACATCCTTAAACCTGCCGCAATGACCTACGACAAGTCAAGAAACCTCGTCACGACAGCATCGCAATCCACGAAAAAAAAAAAAAAAAACACAACACAACACAACACAACAACAACAAAAAATCCAGAATTCGAAAAACATCATAATTCCGGTAAGGAAATTGAGGCATGATCTTCACCTGGCCCTGCCGACGACATACGGCACCAAATTCGTCATGGAAAGCATTGAAATGAATCGCAAAAGAAGAGCTAGACGGAGACGAGGAAGGGTACAGGAATCCGAGAGAGGAAGAGACGGCGGCAGAGGAGGGAAGAGGGACGATACGTGAGACAAGTGGGAGAGCTCAATCAATCCATAATGGGGGACATGATCGCCATCGCCATCACCATGCCGCTGCAACACTGTCTGTGCTCATCACTCCCCCTCTCCCCTCCTAGACGAGACGTTCTACTTGTGCTCCCTGTCCCCGCGCACACACACACCCCCCTCTGCTCCGTTCCCCTCCGCGTTCACTACTATCGTTCGAACTGCGAACGCCCAAAACCCCCGTTCCCTTGCCTTCGCACGTACCTTGGTGCCAAGCCTCGTTTTAAACAAGGTTGAGGGAATCTGATTGATTTTCATCCACGAATGCTTCTGTTCATTCTTTTTTCATTGAATTGCCGTGTTGATAATATATAATTTTGGTTTACTTCTTTGTGTTGTTTTTCTTTTTTTTCTTTTTTTTCTTTTTTGTATAAAATTGGTTGTTACATGGGTGTTAAAGTATTATCAATGTTGGTGTTCTGATGTATCAAACAATTCAACATATACATTCTGTATTTTTGTTGTATAAGATGTAATTTTATTTAAGGGTTTTGAATTTCACACTAAAAAAGGTAATCATTTGAATCAAAGTAGTGAAAGTATTAAATCAAAACATAACACATGCTCAAATAATAATGAATGTTTTAATATGTTTGTTGAACTTCAAACCATCAGATTTAAGTAGATTTGAATGACTTATATTTTATATTATAAAATAATATTATATTTATTCATAAATTAAAAAGGCACAAATTAATCATGAATAAATATGTTAATAGACATACACAAGAAGAATTAAATAGAAAGCAGATAAAATTTAGATATTATTATTATTATTATTATTATTATTCATTACATCATTTTATTTTACATTCAAATTAAATAAGCAAAACTGAATATATATTGGTAGAAAAAAGTTCATGAATAGAAATATATTAATTTTTTTTATAAAATTTTCAAATAATAGGATAAAAAAAAGAATGGAAATGAAAAAAATGATGCATTTAGATTGAGTGTAATTGATAAATATAATTTTTAATTACTACAACAACTAAAATAATTACATTTATGGTGGTATTTTCATCTTCATTATTTTCAAGATATAATATCTTAATCATATATAGAGAAGTAAAAATCCATGCTATTGAGCATAAGAAAGTATTCTTCTGTGTTTTTGTAAATTCTCCAACTTTCCATGGATTCTTGTACATTCTCTTGTATTTTCTAAGTTTCCATGAATTCTTGTACATTTCATGAGTATTTAAGTATATATATATATATATATATATATATAGATTATATTTAATAGTTTATTACTATATATATAGAATAATAATTATTATTATTTTTTAAATCCCTATTTTTAATATTATAAAAAATTTAATCATTAAAATTTTAATAAAATGTGATTTAAAATTAAAATTTAAACTTGAGTTATTAATATATTTTTATATCCAATTACATCACTCCAACCTAAAATACATATCCATAATACATTAAAAAATATGCTTTATAGGTCTTCCATAGTCATTGAAGACAATGTCTCATAACAAATGCTATATATTAGGCATGTATAAATCTATACACATTTACGTATTTAATCCATACACTATTAGATAGCCTTAAAATTTATTAAAACATCTAATTAAGTTTAAAATTAAAATAAAAAGGGTCTTAATCTCTCTTCTCATGTAATATGTCGTTTTGACATAGAGACCTTGGTGATTGAGAGAGAACGACCCCTTTTATTCTCTTGTAATGTAATAGGTCATTTTGAAATCCATCACCAATATCACATAGTGCTTTAGACTTATCACCTTTTTGTTAAGTAATATCTTTGAAGGTCCGTAAGCATTGTCATGTCCTTGTTGTCTTTAGAAACATCCAACTTGAGATTTTCCAAAAACAACATCTAAAACTTATTATCTTCCTCAATAATTTAAATAATTTTTTATAGTCTTCTTTATTGCTTGACATCCTTTGACTTAAAACAATATATTTTTTCTTTGTAGAACAACACTCTACTTGATCTCCTTTCAGATATGTAACTTGAATAAAAAAATTAAAGCCTCTTGAAAATATCTTTACTATTGCCATTCTATACACATCATTACTAAGTTGTATTGTGCCAAAATAACCAGCACCAATTAAACTATTTGTATTTAAATAAAAAAAATCTTGATGATATTATTAGAGTAGTTTATGCTTTCAATAAGCAAGATCTTATTAGGTGTGATTTCTAATTCCAAATTAAACTTGTTGATGCAATTAATTGATTTCTATTGTATTGAATCAATATGTCTTTTTGTTTCTATATCACCAACTTACAATCTCTTTAGATATTATGGCATTTGATATCTTTAGAGATGTACTATTGCTCAAGTTTGAGATCTATTTAAATTTGGCATTTACAACCTCAATTTATCATCTTTATCTATTATATGAAGACTCTGTTGTTGATAATTTGTACTAAAAAATACTTGCCAATCCAAATTAATAGCAATCTCTAAAAAATCCTTTAAGTACTATAACTGCCATCTTATTTGAATTAAGTAATAAATTTATACATTAAGTTTTGTGGACACCTTTTCTCAAAGATATGGTAGAAACTATATTAAATGTTATATAGACATCATTCTAAAAAATACAATAGAAACTATCTTTGAATTAACATTGGATGTGGTATATCTAAGATTGAATACTACATGGCAATGTAATCAATTACAAAAGATTCTATGGTAGGAGCCAAAGGTAGATTTAGTTAGACAATGAGGATAAAAATATTGTAGATATTACCATTGCTAGAAAGATATAGTATTAGTTAAGGATAATATTACTTAATTTTGAATACATATTTGACTATTAAGCTTACATAGCTTATTTCTTAAAAAACACTTACTATAATTGTAACATATCATAAATAAGATATTTGTATTATTTGTACATAGAAATATATAGGTGGAGTTATTTTTTGGAAATTTCTAGAATTTAGGTTAGCATGGTGGTTCATGTAGAATCCACCATGGAATCTTTAGAAAGGCTTAGGATGATTATCATAGTAGAATCCACCATTAGGAATATTTTTAAAAGTTATAGAATAGAAGAACAAAGTATAAATGAGATTAATTGAGGCCATTTGGACATTTGGTCAAGTATAGCTTAAGACTCTTTCTCTTAGTAAAGTTTGGTTTTCTTCTTCTATTTTATTTGGTTTTGTTTAATTCTATTTGATTATATTCTCTTCTATTTAGTCTTCTCTTAGTAAAGTTTGGTTTTCTTCTTCTATTTTATTTGGTTTTGTTTAATTCTATTTGATTATATTCTCTTCTATTTAGTCTTCTCTTTCAAGTTCCATTCCATTTAGTTACTTTTAATTTTATTTTGGTGAGCTTGGACTTATATTATGTTGAGATCTTAGTTTTTATGGATTTGGTAAGATTTTAGACCTTAGAAAATTCAATCCTGTTTTAATGGTATCAGAGCAAGTATTAGTTTTTTTTTTTTTGTAGTATATTGATAGCCACCATTTACTTGGAAGTCAATTGTTATGATGACATTAGGTATTATTTTTGGACTATAACTAGATATTTTAAGAAATTAAATGGAATGAGAAAAGGCATCACAATAAAAAAGTTCAACAAGAAAATTGTAGCATGGGAGATATAGCAAGGCAATTCTAGATGGAAACTTAGATACAACACCTCTTAGGCCAAGTAGTTACTATATAAGGATAAATAAAAGCTTCTAAGATAAGAGAATTGATATTTGCTAAGTTGAAATTAAGCAAGCTTGATACATATTCAAAGACCTCAAGGGAAGAAGATGTATACCAATAGCTCTTCAACCTGCAATATTACCTCCAATTATCTGGAGCAAATACTAGTGAAGGAATTACATATGTCTTCACTTATTTGAGAGGTACAACAGTCATTTGGTGGTGACATCAAGCTCAAAGTTTTGGAGCTCAAGGTGGATTTGGTGATTGGAAGGATTTTGAGACTAAGATTATAAATTAATTTCAATCTATTAATGCGGAGAAATTTGCATGCAATTAGTTAGCTAACCTTGCACAATCTACATTAAAGTAAGATTATGTCTCTCAATTTAAGTCCATATATCTCAAAATTAGCAATTTCTTAGAATCAAAGATGATGGATTGATTTGTACAAGGATTGAAATCTGTTATACAACAGGATATGAAATTAAAAGATCTACAAAAATTTGAAGAGGCAATTAAGATTGCAAAGAGGATCAATACTATAGATTTTAGATATTGTAGAGTACGACCTATAACATGGAGTTTTATGGCAATAGCCAATATTATGAGGTAACAACCAACATCGATGGAAATTGATGCTTTGTAAGGACTATTGATACTACAAAGACAACAAATATTGGTACAAAAAGAATTACATTTTTATTGTCAAGATCCAGACCATCATACTAGAGATTGTCAAAAATGTCAAAGTTCAAGCATGAATAAATTACGGCTCGTTTAAAATCTCGAAAGCCACCAAGTTAATGAAGAAATAGAGTGAAAAAATGAAGCTCTTCAATAAAAGCACCAAGGGCCAATATTAGAGATAGTTGTTGTTTCTCAAAGATAAATGGCATGGCCTCGAATAACTATCAAAAAAGTCGACTAGTGTGTCTAATGGATTGACTAAAGAGATAGCTATGTAGAGTGCTTATGGATTTCAATTTTACAAAAAATTACTTCTTAATTGTAATTGTCAATCTATTTGGGATTAAAATAAAGGTAATCAAAAGAGGGAGTATATACCTACCAGATGATTGAGAGAATGTATTGAGCGAGACAAGTGAAGAAGAAATTCTAAGGCTAAGTGATACCTATGTCTTGAGGGAGAAGTTCAAAGTAACAAAGCTTAAATATGATGTTATTTTTGATGACATAGCTAGAGGCAGAGAATAAATAAGTTGATTGGTAAGCAAGGATAATCTCTTTCAAAGATAGAAGATGTACAATAACTCTTTGTATCTATGTATCAAATAGGATAACAAAACAATCTATGGCTAAGAGCTTATTTTTAGGAATGATCTTTATAAAGAAACAAATACAACATAAACAATCGATATATGTGGTGGTTTTGAATCTTACCTTAATGGCAAAAAAGATAACA